TGTTTCATTGTACCAATACTGCTCCTAGGCAAATCCATTTCTGCCATTTTAAAGCCTTCACTCTCCACCATCATACTTTTCCTTTTTCCTACTATCTATAAAATTATTATCTCTTCATATTTTAAAATACAATTCATAGTCCACTTTTCCACAACACTTCTGTTCATTCAGAAGAGCCTAGTTCAGGCTTAGCTTTAATTCACTCATCCACAAGCTCATTTATTCATGAGTACTCATCCATTCATTCATGAGCACCTGCTCCATGGTAAACTCTGTACTAGTTAACTGCCAGCACAGAGTAGATTTAAATGTTTGTCAGCTAAATGGATTCATGTACCCACAAATACTCCCATTCTCCCAAACACTCCAAGCACCAGCATTATACAGATCTATGTTAAGGTTTATATGAATTTCAGAGAGGTGTGCATATCTGAGCAAGGCCTCATAACCCTTTTAGGGTCATTCACAGTTATTGACAACAAGACATCAGAAACAAGGTTAACAGACTAAAGGACAAACTCAGGAAAATATTTGCATTGTATGGGAATCAGTGGATTAATTAGCCCTTTAAAAACATAAAAAAAAGAACAGTAGTAGAAACAATAGAACATTAGGAGAAAAAGGTGCAAAGAATATATAAACAGGCAACTCACAGAATACAAATGGCCCTAACACATGTATGAACATACTTTATTTCACTAGTCAAATAAATGCAAATTAAAATAATAAAATGGCATTCTTCTCTCGGTTTTAATAAGCCAGAAAGAAGAAAGAAAAAAAAAAGTTATTATGCCCAATGTTGGCAAGGGAACAACTAGTATTAACTAGAATAGCTTTTCTGGAAAACAACCTGGCAATGCAAGAAAAAGTAAGTAATATGCATGTGCTTTGACCCAGAAATTCTATTTCTAAGAATATTATCCTAGGAAAACAAAAGGACAAGTCTGCAAAGAGGCATGTGTGAGAACATTCAATGCAGAATTACTTCTAGTAGTTAAAAAAATACATAAATAAGAAGAAACAACAAATCCACTGATAAAGAATTCATTAAATGACTCTTAGTTCATCCACTCACTAAAATACTACGTAGCAGTCAAAGGGCCAAGGTAGAATTTCATGTACTGACACATAGCAATACATTGTTACAAGAAAAAAGTACATTACAGAATAATGTGAATATACTGAAACTATTTCACATTAGAATCAACCCAGTGACATTATTACATGGATAATAGTGAATCTATTCTAGATTATTTTTATATTATTCCCAAATGTGTCAAGACACTGCAGTTGAGAACTTTTGGACTAGAACATCCTATCAGCTGTCACCCTCTTTAGCTCAAAAATTCTTTAATCCTAAGGATGTTGTGCAGCATAGATCTTGGACACAGTGTTACTGCAAGGCTCCAGTGTAGGATGTTTAAGTGCCTTTTTTCAAAATGCAACATGAAAACGCTATAAAGTGCCCAGAATTTTAAATCTATGTTGCAAAATTTGGGTTTTTAACACTGCACCCCTGATTTCAATGATGATTCACATCGAGTATGTTCATAATAATGTACAGACCATTATATTTTTTTAAAAAGTAACTAACAAATATAACAGAACCTTTGAACATAGAAAGAAATGAATTATGGTGTTATGGATTGAACTGTATCCCCCAAAAAGTTATACTGGAAGTCCTAACCCCTGTACCCAACTGTATGACCCATTGGAAACAGGGGATTTGTTTCGTCATGTTAATGAGGTCATATTGTAGTAGGCTGAGTGTTAAACCTAATCCCCTCTGAGTGCTCTCTTATAAAAAGAGCTCAATAGTCACAGGCACACACAGGGAAAAGAAGACATACACCATGTGAGAGAGTTTTGTACAAAAGGATATTCACATTGATCAGAGGATATGTTATTCACAACCAATATTAAAGTCTGAGAGAAGAATCTCCTTTTGGAGAAAACATGATACAAAATATTCTGAAATTCTTTCTACTCTGCACATACGGGGTCGCCATGAGTCAGAATCGACTTAGTGGCAACTAAAAACCACCACCACCAAGGAAGGACCTTCCCCTTGAGCTGACGACTTGATTTGGACTTCTAGCTTCCAAAACTGTGAGACAATAAATTCTTGTTCTTTGAAGCCACTCACCTGTGGTATTTGTGTTATGGCCGTACTAGCAAACTAAGACAAATGATAAACTTTGCATTATAAGGCATACTTAATCTAAAAATGCTGACTGTAAATCAAATCCTATTTAGACTGCAGTCTTAACAGTTCAGTCTCTTTGTAGTGGAAAGGACTGGGGTTTGAAGTCAGAAAACTTGAGGATAAAGACTTCTCTTTGGGTTCCAGAGTCCTGAGCAAATCAAATAACCTATCTGAGCCTCAACTGCCCTACTTTTAAAATAAAAATGATCATAATAAAAGTATTATACATAATACATATAATGCATAATACATAATATATACATAATACCTAATACACATAATACAGTTCCTAGGACAAAATAGGTTCTCAAATACTTGTCTAATATAAACAGTAGCATCACTGTTGCTTTTTTTAAGGTTTTCTGTGTCTCTCAATTTACCTATTTTGTTCATTTAAACTTCTGTAACACTGAATGTACAACCATCCTATTTTTATTTTATTTTACTTATTTCAAAAGGGCTTCTTACCCCCCATAAGTTTATCTGTTGATGTTTTTTCACTATAAACATGAAGAAGTCTGTTATCTCAGAAACTCAGGGAGAAAGCATACTTAACAAAGCACACACCCACAAAACTCTGTGTTGCTCTTCTCTGAGCTCAGTGCTCTCCTTTGGCACATGTCTGCCCCCTATCATTTCTTCACAAGGTGTACGGCAAAAGGCCTAGTTAGTGAATGCAGTGATTTTTGGTTGCCCCTACACTTTCCTCAAACAGATAAATGAAATAAGGGAATAAAACACACCTACAACTTTAAATCTTAAAAAAATGATGAAATGTAAAATTAGCTTACACTCACTATGTACAGTTGATGGTATATCAGAGTACAGAGAAAACACTTCTGGAGTTATCCAAAAGCTCAAGTGATCTCATAGTGCCCCACTCAACACACCCCTCATTGGTGAATTTCTGCTCATATCTGTTACCTCTTGGGCTTACTAGATCACTCTGTGGTGTGAACTGTATCCCAAATCTGACCAAAAGTACTGTCTCTGAGTATGTCTATAAATTGGTAAATTAAATTAAATTAATATGCTACTTCTGATTCTGAATTTTCAATGGCACAGTTGTATTTCTAAGCCAACAATGAACTACACGCTAGCACCTCTAAAAGAAACATTTTATAAGCTGCCCAGTTATTGCCAGCCTTAGTATTACAATCAAATAAATAAAAATGAGATGCCTCTGACTGCAGGAAAGAGCTGTGGACAGAAATATGTTCAATTCTAGGTGACTTCTTTCAAAGCAATCTGTACGAATCCACAGAAAGCCATCCAGAGAACTAGCAGTTGCCCACATAAAAAGTAAATCTTGGAATAAATCAATAAACAATTTCAAGAAAAAAGGTAACCTGGGGAAAGTTAATTCAAATAAACAAACGTCGACAGACAGTTCAAAGTGACCCAAGTTATGCAATGGCAGGTAAAATGTCCTATCAGAATCATGGTGAGGGGACAGAGGTATGGTGCATACTTCACTCTTCTAACAAAGCAGCAACCTTCACCCCATGAAAGGAGCCATCAAAAACCAAACCCACTGCCATCGAGTCGATTCTGACTTATAGCAACCCTATAGGGCAGAGTAGAACTGCCCCATACAGTTTCCAAGGAACCGCTGGTGAATTCGAACTGCTAGCTTCTTGGTTAGCAGCCAAGCTCTTAACGACTGTGCCACCAGGGCTCCAAAAGAGCCATAGACAAAACCAAATTTCTCTGTGCCAATGTGAAAGTGCCAAAGTTTTAAACTTCTATCTGCACTGTCTAATACAGTAGTCACTAGTTTCTTTTAGGGCATATGGCTATCAAGCACTTGAAATCTGACTAGTCCAAACAGAGACGTGCTGTATGTGTAAAATACGAGATTTCGAAGACTTAGTATCACTTAAAATTTAAAAAAAAAAATGCAAAATGTCTCATTAATAAGTTTAAACTGATTACATGTTGAGATGAAAATGTTCTTATATACTGGGCCAAATAAACCATTCAACATTATTTTCACCTGTTTCTTTTTATTTTTTGTTTATGTGGCTACCAGAAATTTTAAAATTTGGTGTGCAGCTCGCAATATATTTCCATTAGACAACACTGTTCTGCTTAGTTGATAAAAATAAATACCAAGTAGGGAGCACTTCCAATGTTCTAGGCACTGTGCTGGTTACATTACATAATCCTTGGAACAATGCTGCGAGGTATAATCTTTCTGTTTTACAGGCGAAAGGCGGAAGTGACTAGCTCCACCAAACCAATAAAGGATGCAGCTGGGATTCAATGGCAAGTATTCCTGCGAAATTATTTACATAAGGGACGACTAACAGCAAAGGTGGGGGCAACGCTAGTGCTGACATAGGAAAGATAGGTCACTGATACAGAGTCCCCGAGGGCAGCAAACTTCTGGGACTACAGGACAGGTAAAAAACATCAAGTTATACCCCAAGCCAGTCAAGCAAACACCACATCGTTCTCTGAAGGAAATACAGTCCGAGACCAACTTCCTTGGCAGCTCAAGCGTCACAGATGCTAGCGGCAGGGCAAGCTGCTCCCAAAGGGAAGAACATGTAGCCCAAATTCCCTGGATAATTTGGCTGTGATACTCATGGCAAGACAGAGGGGCTTAGGGATACCAAGCACGTCGTCTCCCCCCAACTTCGGCACACACCCTACTCAATCACGCCCCACCCCAGATCTCCGCAAAGCTTTGGTATCCCACCGCTAGGACCAAGGGAAGTGGGACCCGAAACGTCTGCGATAAGATAGGGAAGTGGTAGAGAAAGGGCAAAGGGACAGTGGGGTCAGGTACCTGAGACAGAAGAGGACTCCAGGTCCTTAATGCCGGATCATCGCCGAAGCCCCACCCAGCTCCCACGGCTACCAGTGACCCAGAAGGTGCAACTGACCAGACGCTGCGGCGCAAGTGATTCGCCTCTCCAAAGACTCGCAGCTATGGCAACTTGAACTAGCCGCCCAGCCGCCGCCTCTGGAAAGGACCCCGCCGATGTCGCTTGGCCCTGAGGGAGTTGTAGTCCATCACTCCTTGAAAAGCGAGAGGTTACCAAGAGGAAGTGGCCCTATAGGAAACTGCAATTCCCAGAATACAATGCGACTAGCGTTCGGGTGACTTTCCCGGAAGAAGCCTGAGTAGCTGGCACCTGAGTCCCTGGGCAGTGCCCTCTTCGTCTGGTCTTTATTTTTCTTAAAGGGCCAGTACGTTATGTATAAGACAAACTTAGTATCCAGATAGAAAGTAAGTAAGAGACCTACCTTGGCCCTGACTGTAATTTAATCAGAAAAGTCTAAAATATTTACTTTAAAAAAATAAGGAAATCCAAAGTGGTTGTAATACTAACATATTGAGAACCAACCAAAACCAAAAGCATTGCCCTTGAGTCAATTCCAACTCATAGCGACCCTAGAAGACAGAGTAAAACTGCCCCATAGGATTTCTAACCAGCGGCTGGTGCCAACCTTTTGGTTAATGAGCTCTTACCTACTGTGCCACCAAGGCTCCATACTGGGAACAGGGAGGAGCAATTTCCAGCAGTGAAATGTTAAAATCCTCTTAAAACCAGGACCTGATGTCTTGTTCCAAAGGCTCACAAACTCTTAGAATTAAAAGGGAACAGAGAGAGATTATCTAGTCGAAATGGATAGAGATAAGCAAAACTGGGCAGCCCCAGAGGCAATAAGTTCGAGAGAATAGAGTCCTAGTTCCTGACAACTTCAAAGATCCTGGTTCCAGTCTCTGTTATTCCCACTTACACTTCCTATTTGTGTGTTCCATCATACACTAGAGGCAGTTAGAGGTAGATAAATGCACAAATTCTGAACCCAGACCACTTGGGTTCAAATCTGATCTGTACTACCTATCAGCTATGTGACCTTCAGTAAGTTACATAACCACACCGTGCCTTCATTTCTTCCTCTGCCCAATGTGGATAATAAGAATGATACCTAACGTGTAGCAGATAAAATAAATTAATGCATGAAGCGCTTAGCGCTGTGCCTACCCAATAGTAAAAACCTCATATATGTGAACTGCTATATTCTGTGATGTTCTAAAATGTTTGGTCCATTAACATTGAGACTTTGTTTATTGTTTTGTTCTAGAACAAAGAATATACCTTGTTGCTTTATGATGATTTCGCCTTTCAAAGCTTAAGATAAATTTTGTTAATTGAAATCCAAAGAGCCTTGACTAAGATTATGTTGGCGAAACTGTGGCCTTGGTCATAACTGTCCAGCTTGTGAGACCCAAGGTACTAAATTCACATCTAGTTTCTTGAACAAGTTTCATTGGATACCATAGCTAACATTAAACATTTATGAGATAATCGATTAAGAGTTTCTGGAATAGGGTAGTCTAAAATAATTGACATAATCATCATAATCCAACTCATCTAGAGTGGTTAAGGGAAGGGAAAACAGCTAGTATGTAAGAAACTCTTGGGTGGTAAGCAGAGGCAATGCTATTTGAAGTAGAAGGAAAGATGTATTTCACTGATACCTTGCAAAATCATACTACTATGAAACAACGTCGGCCAACTAATTGTTTCCATGTAACAGGAAGACATATTTGAAATACTAATCAGAATTTTCCTCAAGTGTTTTCTTTTCCCCTTGTGTTTTCTTTTCCCCTTGGCTCTCTCACATGGCCTCAGAGAAGGCTACTGCAGAAAGCAGGGAGAGGGGGCAAAGTAGAAAGGAAGTAGTCTTTTCCTGGCTTTTGAACATTGAACATATAGATTCTCAGAGAAGACTGGCTACAGAATTTGTGGGGCTTAATACAAAATGAAAATGTTAGGCCCTTGTTCAAAACAAAGACTTTCAAAATAGGGACAGGAGTGTATTAAATTAAGCATGGTGTCCCTCTGAGTGCAGGTGATTTCACAGGTTAAGAACAGATGAAGCCGCCCTGCTCTCAGAAAGGAGTCAGGGTATAAGCAAAGGATATGGGAGAAAATATCATGAGCAAGAGCAGTACTTCAAAAGAAAAGGGATTCCTGACTGGCAATATGGTAAGAAACAGAGAAGAAAGAGGGACTGGGATGTGGAGCAGGGGCAGACCAGAAGGAGGTAAGTCCTAAAGGAGGTAAGTCTGTGTCCACTGAGTGCCTAGCCTCCACTCAAGCAATCACTATTCATGACCAGAGCCCAGCTTCCCTACCCATTGACATCAAGGGAGAATATCCCTTCAAAAGCAGCCTGCATTTAGCCCGATGACTGCCCAGCACCAGTAACAATCATCCGTACCATTACTTTGCTTGGCTCCATCTAGCCACCAAAGATGATCAAGTTTCTTTGTAATATCCCAGGACACTCATAACTTATAAGAAGGAAGACTGAAAACCAAGGAACCAAGTTAGGTGATGGGGGGTGGGGGAATGCAGTAAAAGGGAAATCCCCCACATCCTGATTTGTTGAGACTGAATGGAACCACTCAAAATTGCCTCTGACACAAAATATGGTAAAAGCCACACTCTTTACACCATCATGAAACAATCAGAAATGTTGTGACTCTTTCTGCATCATTGTCAAGCTAACTGAAAGCCTAAGGAGAGTCAAAACAAAAGACAAGATGTTACCAAGACATCTTTGTGTTGCCCACTGCACATTCAGGCAGCGGAGGATTACCCAGTAAGAAAAGTAAGCATAAGCTTACTTGTGCTTACTTACTAATCTGTAGTAAACAATTTCATGTAAAACCCATGTGAAATTGTTCACTAAAGAAGATTAAGAAAGCACAAGTGTTGTTCTTGTTAGGTGCCATCAAGTCAGTTCCGACTCATAACAACCCTATGTACAAACAGAACAAAACAATGCCCAGTCTTTTGCCATCCTCACAATCATTATTATGGGCTCAAGCCTATTGTTGAAAACACTGTGTCATTCCATCTCCTTGAGGGTCTTCCTCTTTTTCGATGACCCTCTACTCTACCAAACATGATGTCCTTCTCCAGGGACTGGTGCCTCCTGATAACATGTCCAAAGTGCATCAGATGAAGTCTTGCCATCTTTGCTTCTAAGGAGCGTTCTGGCTGTACTTCTTCCAAGACAGACTTCGTTGTTCTTCTGGAAGTCCATGGTATATTCAATATTCTTCACCAACACCATAATTCAAAGGCATCAATTTTTTGGTCTTTCTTACTCATTGTCCAGCTTTCACATGCATATG